TCGCCCCAGGGAGTGTCTCCTTTCTTGGCCAGCTCCAAGTGGACATTGCCTAGGATATGGTACTCTCTACGGAACTCGGCCAGTGCCCCGGGAGAATTCACCATGAACCGGTACTTCGCCATCTATCCTGGTTTTATTTAGTTAGGTAATTTAGGTCATATCTCGGTAAAAAATTTGATGAATGTCCGCTCGGACTTTGAGCCTCACTAGTTGTAACTCTGAATGAGCCTGGTCGGTCCTAGTTTGTTCTGCATTATTAAGAAATAAGTCCAAGAATTAGTGCGGCACAAATCGCACGGCTCTTATGAGGAAGTTTCTAGCCCGGTAAGGGTTCCTGGGTGTGTTTGATCGGTTCACTCTTATTATCTTGGTCCTAATATATGCCGACTCGCCCTTCCTAGTCCGGTTCTAGCCCCCTACTTACAACTCGGTCTTGGCCTCAAAACAAGACCACAAACAGGTTTTTGCTCGGCTAAATCCTATTTATATATCAAAAAGTCTGGTTTTACTCGGTCTCGTCGAGGTTTAGGCTGTTCATCCGAAGTATCAAGTTGATGCATTGAAGATAGGGGAAACAAAGGGCATGGGAGCCCCATCTGCTTCTTCGATTCCAATTTTTCCTAAGGTGTACCAGTGTTACCCCAAAGAGGGGGCACTAGGAGGATTCTAACAGTCTCAGGCAAGAACATGAAGAACGTAAATGAAGAGTACGGAGGAGGGGCAAGTAAACTTACCAATATGGACGCCAAGTGAAGAGCAATTAATCACGATCTTGTCTACAGTCTTTGAGAGAACGAAGGTGGTCAAGAACAACTAGAAAAGCAGTGATAGTAGAAGCTTGGAGACTTGGAGGCTAGGGTTTGGCTCGAGTGAGAAGATGAAAGTAGGGGCGTATGTGGCCCATTACATGTGTATAAAAGGAGTGGGGAACCCAAAGGGTGGCAACCGTTTGAATTTTACGCGTGAAGAAGACAGCTGTGGGGCTGCACGAGTCCAATGATGTGAGGCCACGTGGCATCGAAAAGATGGCTCTGTCAGTACGGCTGTACGATCGATGACAAGACTGCTGGCGCAATCCCCGATGCCCGACCAATCCGGATAGCCCAGTTAGAATGATAATCCCAAATCACGCTCAGCTCGGATGGGATTAAGGGGTAATTGAGAGGGAGATTTGCGCCGGGCTATGGCTCCGAACCGAATCTGCACGGCTTCTCGGGCCATCACGTTTGGCCGAGTTATGTTGCTGACCAGAGTGCGAAGACATGCATGTGCCCAACCGAGCTGTGATTCGGCTAGGTATTTGGTTGGATCAGCAGTGGAGCATCTTGAGCGAGCCAACCATAGCTCGTAATGAATTTAGACCGAGACGAAGGCTGGCACGCCTCACGGCCAGTCAGTTCGGATGGACCGACTTCTTACAGTTCGGCCGTCCCGGTCATGATGGTGTTTCTATCCAAGGGATAGGTCGGTCATGATATCCCGGTTAAGTGTGCCACCTGGTCCAATGGTGCGATGGAGGGGAAATCCACTCTTGGCACGCGTCAATACCGTTTGGCAGCTCCACACATGCTGTTTGGAGGTTTTGGCCTTTACACGCGTAAAGTAGGTAGAGGGGAGCATTACCACCTATCCAGGGAAGGACAGCAGAGGTGGTGCGCCCATGATCCCTGAGGATGCATGGCCAGCCTAGAAAAAGGAGGCATGGGGGAGGTTAGAGGTAAGCAATCTGAGGAATTCCCAACCCTCTCTCTCTCTAAAGTGCTCTCCCCTTCTTCTTCTTCAAGTGTGCTGACTTGATCGTCGGAGGGTCTATTCGGCAGCACACTGCCGGGCAGCTCACCGTCTTTCTGTTTTCAGGCCAAGCAACGATGCGTAAAGCTCGAGTGCAAGGAGTACGGAGAACAGAGAATATTTGACCCTCGTACATATGCGAAATTTAGGTGACATGTAATTATATTTTATTCACATACTTTTTCTTTTTTATTTTTTCAAATCTCTCCCTAAATCTATAAACCAAACACAAGCTTAGTGAATTTTTATTTTGGCCCACTTGCAACGTTGGATTATTTGTGTAATTTTTCGATTGGCTAATAGTTTTAGAAGATGTTGAAAATAATTAAAAATATATTGTAATTTTGGATTCAGCAATGTTATATATCATTAAAAAAAAAATCATTATTTTATATCATTAAATTACTTCATGAAATATTTTTAATTTTATTATTTCATTGATGCTTATTTCTCAATAAGGAATCAATCACAAGATTAATCCAGTAATTAAAGTATTTCTAAAGTACTGTATGACATTATTTACGTAGCGTTTTAAATTAATTACATTGTTGAAATAAAAAATTTATGTGTAAGATATACTTATTCACTTTTGTTATATAATTGGAAACAAAAAATGACTTGTTGATGGAGCATGTCATTCAAAGAGCTCGAGAGGGGGCAGCAGATTCAGGGCGTTCTCAAGCTCGGACACTCTCGCATAGCTGGTAATGCTGGGTCTCTGTTTGGGTGGAGGAAGTCCCTCGTAGTTTAGAATTGTTGGCTGCTTCTGACGTGGCACTTGTTTGAGTATAATGTTTTAACGTTTTCCTATAAAAATAAAAATAAAAATAAAAGGTGTATTGCTTCTTTTTTATTTATTTATTTTTTCTTTTCATATTAAAAATCTCATATAAACAATATAACATGCAATTTTAAAAAAATACATCTAATAATTTTCCAAAATCACACAAAATCCAATGAGATGGACCACAAGCAAGCATCCAGATATTTTTTTCCTAAAAATCCAATGCACGTGTAGGCACTTACGTCACTAACATTAAAGCCAAGCATAGGAGAGAATTATTAGCGTCGTTGAGCAATGTTTCACATTGTGATACGCAGGGCCGGTTGCCTTTTCTGGGGCTTAAACACGTTTCTAATATAAGGTTTATATACATAATTTAAAATAGAATTTTAATAGGGGAATTTTTTTTCAGGTCCCTGGTATTAACATTTTATAGTATAAAGGACACTCAATATTTTCATAATGTCTAAGGTCCCTCAAGTTGATCCAGAGAAAATTGTTCCTGAGAAAATTGATCCAGAGAAAATTCATGTCACAGAGAAATTTCTCACCGTGTGTTTGATGCTTGTTTGTTTTCTCTCTTCGATTTAAATGGTGTTTATGTAAGTTGATGTTTTCAGAATCTTTTCCATTCTTAGTTGGAATTTATGCCAAAAAGAGTTTATATACATATCTCAGTGACCATACATATCTCTTTGGTCAATCCAAATCACAGAATTTCTCTGGATCAACCCCAGAGAAATTTCAGTTCAAGCCAGAGAGTTGAACCCAGAGAAATTCTGAATTTTCCCTGAGTTGAACCAGAGAAATTCTGAATTTTCTCTGGAACTATAAAACTCTGATTTGATCAATTTTTCAATTGAAATACCTGGGTTGAAACTAGAGAAATTCTCTGGTTGAACTCAACAATCCATCATCAACAGTAATTTTCTCTGGGGAGCAAAAAACGAGTGACGTATATATTGGTGGGACTGTTTGGCGGACTCGGTTTCATTGCACTTTTGGTATTGGTGCTGCTACTGGTTCTGAAACTAGGCAAAAAGGAAAATACAAATCAGAGGAACAATTGTTAATTTATCAGATTTGTTTGAATCGTTTACATATGAACAATTGCTCCAAGCCACCGCGGATTTTAGTGATACAAACCTTCTCAAACATGGCCACTCTGGGGACCTTTTCTACGGAACATTGGAAGGTGGGTTCCCTGTGGTTATCAAGAGGGTTGATTTGAGTTCCTTCAGGAAAGAATCTTACATGTTGGAATTGGAATTTTTCAGCAAGGCTTTGCATCAAAGGTTGGTCCCACTCTTGGGGCACTGCTTGGAGCATGAGAATGAGAAACTCTTGGGGCACTGCTTCAGAATCGGAGTTTGAAGTGAGTTGGAGCTCGGCGAGGTGGAAGAGTTCTAGAGGCGGTGGTTGTGGGTAAGAATGGCGGTGGGTTTGGGGTGGTGATGGGTCAGATTCCGCCGGCGGTGGTGGTGGTGGTGGGTGAGAGTGGTGTGAGATGGGTGAGTTTGGGAGTGGGAATCTCCACTGGGTAAAGCTTTGGGAAGTGTTGGAAGATGAGGACTCAGAGTCCGGTTGGGGGTGGCGGTGGGTCAGATAATGAAGATAGTATAAAGGATTGAAATTTCTCTGATATATGTTTAGGGACCTTAGACATCAAAAATTAATTTTATGGATCTCTTCCATTATGAAAAGTGGAAGAGGGACCTTAGACCGATTTTCCCATTTTAATATGAGTCAATATTTAAATTATTTTTTGACAGAATTTAAGTAGTTGGTACTTTAAATTTTTTGAACTTTCACATTTTTAATTGTAAAATTACTAATCATGTTTGTTTTAATCAACTTATCAGCCAAACTCATTCAATTTTTCTTGTAACATACTTCACTAAATTTATGATTTAATCAATTTCAAATTTGAAAAGTTTGTTTTTCTCATAAATAATTATAAGTAATAAATAATTCATAATATTCTATATACAATTCATTTATTTGAAAAACAACCATTAATTACTTTTAAATAATTCACCATATCAATAAAATAAAAAATAAAAAATTGGTTTCTTTAAGGGGCCATTTTTACCAAGTACAGTAACCAAAAAATAAGACTTAATTCATATTTTTTCAATTTTTGGGGCATTTTTTTTTTTACCAATTTTTGGGGCTCAAACTGATAGCTTGTGTCGCTTGTGCATGAAAATAATCATGAAAAATTTTCTACTGTTAGATTATACATATAAGAAAACGTCACATACTAATCAAAGGATAAAAAATCTTCATAAAACATTTCATGATATTTTTTTCATAATTCCTAGTATTATCTTCAGAAAAATGACCATAAAAAGTAAAATGACAATTTTAGCACCGGATTCCATCCTCTGGCCTCCAGAAAATGTGGTTTGCTGCTGGGTACCATTGCGTTTGGCCTCCAAAAAATGGTAGTTGAGTTCTTCATTGTATTAAAGTAGATCCAAATAATTTATGAATTTTGCTAGGAATTCCAAATAATTTGTCAACTTTTTTACTAAAACCCTTTATATGGATGTGAAGCTTACACACATTTGATTTATATGATTCCCACACTTATATAAGAAGTTTAATAAAAAAAAAATTATAAATTATTAAAGCTACATGACATTTTCCGTCAACTTATGGTCCTCGCTTAGCTACAAACTTTTTTTTGACCTGCTATGTTTCTGGGTTGAGTCTTTGTGGTTAACTAGTTTCATCACATCTTGAATCAACAATCTCGTATTTAAATATGAAGAACCTCCTTCTTCTATTGCCTTTTTTGCCATGTCCCCAAGTACTCTTGCCCTTTTCCTTCTCTCTTCTCCATGAATTCTTTCACCCATTACTTTCTCAACTGCGTCCTTAATTGCCTCTCTCTCCACCAACTCCTTACATTTGTCTTCCTCAAATAAGGGTCGAACCCCCTGAGCCCCAACACTTATTCCTATGTCCAAAACCTGCACAACTAACTTCTCATTCAAAAATTGCTCGGCGAACATTGGCCACGTTAGCATCGGCACACCTGCACACATCCCTTCCAGTGTCGAATTCCACCCGCAGTGTGTCAAAAACGCCCCCACAGCCCGGTGCCACAATATGAGTACTTGCGGTGCCCAGCCTCGAATCAGAAGCCCTCTCCCTTTCGTTCTTTCCTCGAATCTATTTTCTTCCACCCACTTCTCTATCTCCCCTGCCTTTCTTCCGCCTTTTATAACCCACACAAACGGGCGTTTCGATCCTTCCAATCCTAAAGCAAGCTCGATTAACTGAGGAGTTGTGAGGCGATCGAAGCTTCCAAGGCATGCGTAAACCACCGAGCCTGGCTCTTGTTCATCGAGCCACATTAAACACTGGTTTTCGTTGATTGCTGGCTTGTTTCCTCTTTGAGACTTGTCCAAGTTGTCTTTATTGCATAGTGATAGTGGCCCAATACACAAAACTTTATCTCCTTTTGCCTTTTGAATCTCACTCTCTTATGCTCACACAATTTACGTATTTCAAAAGTTCATGAAAGTGTGCCCGATTCGAAGCCCTTCATCCTCCTGGCTTGCCTCATAGAATTGAGCTAACTAAAGCTTTGTTGCCTATATTATTCAATGCGGGTTCAGCGGAACTGCAAAAGTTCCTAAACCGAGCACGAGCAGCTGAATCCGAAGCATACGGGGTGGTGATTAACAGTTTCGAAGAGCTGGAACCGAGATACGTTGATGAGATTCGAAAGGCAAAAGGAGATAAAGTTTGGTGTATTGGGCCACTATCACTATGCAATAAAGACAACTTGGACAAGTCTCAAAGAGGAAACAAGCCAGCAATCAACTAAAACCAGTGTTTAATGTGGCTCGCTGAACAAGAGCCAGGCTCGGTGGTTTACGCATGCCTTGGAAGCTTCGATTGCCTCACAACTCCTCAGTTAATCGAGCTTGCTTTAGGATTGGAAGGATCGAAACGCCCGTTTGTGTGGGTTATAAAAGGCGGAAGAAAGGCAGGGGAGATAGAGAAGTGGGTGGAAGAAAATAGATTCGAGGAAAGAGCGAAAGGGAGAGGGCTTCTGATTCGAGGCTGGGCACCGCAAGTACTCATATTGTGGCACCGGGCTGTGGGGGCGTTTTTGACACACTGCAGGTGGAATTCGACACTGGAAGGGGTGTGTGCAGATGTGCCGATGCTAACGTGGCCAATGTTCGCCGTGCAATTTTTGAATGAGAAGTTAGTTGTGCAGGTTTTGGACATAGGAATAAGTGTTGGGGCTCAGGGGGTTCGACCCTTATTTGAGGAAGACAAATGTAAGGAGTGGGTGGAGAGAGGCAATTAAGGACGCAGTTGAGAAAGTAATGGGTGAAAGAATTCATGGAGAAGAGAAGAAGGAAAAGGGCAAGAGTACTTGGGGAGATGGCAAAAAAGGCAATAGAAGGAGGTTCTTCATATTTAAATACGAGATTGTTGATTCAAGATGTGATGAAACTAGTTAACCACAAAGACTCAACCCAGAAACATAGCAGGTCATAAAAAAGTTTGTAGCTAAGCGAGGACCATAAGTTGACGGAAAATGTTATGTACCTTAAATAATTTAGTAATGTTAGGGATCATGAAAAATATATTATGAAATACATCATGAAGATTTTTCATCTCTTGATTAGTCTTGATTAGTGTGTGGTGTTTTATTGTATGAGTAATCTAAAGGTTGACAATCTTTCATGATAATATTCATGGTATATTTTTCATGATTCCTAACATTACTGTAAATAATTTATAATTTTTTTTTTTATTAAACTTCTTATATAAGTGTGGGAATCATATAAATCAAATGTGTGTAAGTTTCACATCCATATAAAGGGTTTTAGTGAAAAAGTTGACAAATTATTTGGAATTCCTAGCAAAATTCATAAACTATTTGGATCTACTTTAATACAATGAAGAACTCAACTTCCATTTTTTGGAGGCCAAACACAATGGTACCTGTGAGAACCCGAATATAAAAAAAAAAAATTAAGTAAATAATTAAATAATAATAATAATTTTACAATTTCAAATATTTTGATGGTAAATCCTAAAGTGCAAATTAAATATTTGGGGGATCTTTAATTAATTTTTAAACTATAAATAATTTTTTTTATGGAAGTCCACAATTTTTAAGACTATTGATAATAATCTTAATGATAATAACAATGATAATAATAATAATAAACTAGTTAGTAAGGGGTCATTTTGAAAATTTATTATAGGTGGATAAAACCCTAATGGTGAGATATCAATCCTTTTCTTAACTACCCTAGTAGCAGCCGTGAGTTATAGAGAAAAGGGAGAGGGAAAGAGACAGCTTGTTTCAGTTTGGTGGTGTCTTTAGCAAGGTAATCTTCCTCACTATCTTCCTTTTTGTTCTTATTCTCTTTATTTAATTCCTTGTGCCGTTGTGAGGGTTGTGTGGCTGGTTTGTTTTGGGATTATTCTATATAGATATACCTACATACATACTTATACTAATGTAACAATAGAGTTAATTGGGTAGTCAAATATATCACATGTGCATCTCGGTTGGTTTGTGCGTAAGAGTGGTCATCTGTGGCAAAGAAATTGTTGGGTATGCAGGTGTGTGTTTTATTATTTCTTTATATTTAATTGGTGGTTTGGTTATGCTGTGAAGGAGTTAGAGAGAGAGGTATTAGTATTTAATAATGGATTTTCTTGTGTAAATGGGTTGCTGGGAAGTTTTGGGTTGCAATGGTGGATGGAAATTCTTGATCCTAAAAACATAAACTTTAAATTTTGAGGAATCATATCAAACGGGGGAATTTTGAACTGAAATTTTTACAGTAGATCAATTACATATTGAATTGCATATCTGATTTTTTTTCATAATTTTTTGGGAGTCGAAATCCATATAAATTGAGGTATTCAAATCTGTCCAGGAAACCAGTCCGAAATAGTAAATTCGGGAGTGTTTTTCTCTTTGGGTATAAATCCAAAAATTATCAAATTAGTGTCATTAGAACCGGTTACGAGTCTAATTTCGTACGTTTTTGGCCTTGCGTTGATTGATCGTGTATATTAAGAGAACCTTCAATTTCTTTAAAGTGCTGCAGAAAACAACCTGTTTGGATATAATAAATTGTAGATAATTATTTTGATAAGAAAATCAAGTGAAACCAATTGGGTTTGAAACTTAGGATATATTAGATCATATCTGGAGGTTATTGAAATTTTTGAATAGCGTGGAGTGGGTTTTGTAATTTTCAAAGTTAGCGAATAGATTGGGAAAACTAGTTTAAAACACTGTTTTATCTTAAAGTTATTTTTAGTTAAGTTTCGATCGGAACCCATGTCGTGGGTGATTTTAGACCTTGAAAAACATGAACTTAGGTAATATTTAAGAGTAACAGTGAGTTGGGTTGAGCCGTGTTAGTGCACTTTAGTTTGGGGTTACTTAGTTCGTATTCTTTAGTATTTTTAAATTAGTTGTGACGTGTAGTTTTTATACTTGGTTCAGGGCACTAGTTGGACTTTCATACTCTATTCGAGGATTATATTATTGCGTTTCAGGTGAGTAGTTTCATGCTACATATTTTTATAAATGTTCCCTCATCCTGAACTGTTGGAAAATTAAATTGTTGTTTCATGATTAAACTGTTTTGATAAATTATTATATTATCAATTGAATCAAATTATTTCTAA